ATTGATTGTTGGAGGGCAAAGAGGGCTTTCACTGTCAAGGGACTTCAGTGCTCAGTGTTTTCTTTATTTGGTGTGATCTTGGCTTCGTCATTCTGCTTTCAACTCGGCTTGTTCATGATTGGTCTTCTGTGCACTTTTGCATCTTCAAATTTTGGAGTTCTGAACTTCTCATTCATTGGTTCCTTGGAGCAATGAAGAGATTGTAAAAGCTAAGAGCCTAAGAGGGGAAAAATAAAAAAATATTGCAGATTTCAAACTGTGACATGTGCCACTGTGCCAGCTGTGATGCAATGGAGCGGTTTGGCGCACTGGAGGGTCGTGCCATAGCAATGGGAAGAACTTGCAGCAGAGATTCGGATTGCCTCGACACTGAGAGTTGCTTGAGCGTCACAGATTGCTGGGTGCCGGTTTGTGACAAATTCTATGGCAATTTCTCTGCAATATCATGTCGGGGTGTTTGCCGTCCGAACTACCCCTTCATGCAAAGAGCACAGGTGAGAGGACAAGTTTGATTGGGAGTAGTGTGCGGACAGTCCGACAGTGCTTAATTTCAGACAATGATCTACTATCTTTCCCTGAACATGAGGCATGCCCACACATTATATACTGAATAATATCATAGTAGCCAAGGAACAGAAGTGTTAGGCATATGCCAAACTCCAATCAGTTCCAAGACTTGTCAGGGGGCGGAGGTGGGGGCCAAAGGCGAGGCGATGGCAGGGGCAGGGGTAGCGGCAGGGGTGGGGATGAGGACACGGTGGGTTGTGGCGGTGGGGGCCAAGGCGGGGATGCACTGTGAGGGGGTGCGGGGTGGTGGGTGGCACAGCTGAGGAGTAGATACACGGGGAAGGAGGTGGCGGAGCAGGGGCAGGGGTGGACAGCCGACGGGGGCAAGGATGCTGTGAAGACGGAATCGGTCAGGGGCACGGAGGGGCCAGATTTCTTATGCCCCTCCCATATGCAAAATAGAAAACGTTTGACCGGCTCCGCACGTTTTTGGCCACGGGGAACCTGAGGAACAAAAAAGAAAATCACCCCCACGGTCCTTGGCCCTGCCCCTTGTGGGGGTCCACGACCCCTGCACCATGGTGCGTAGGTCCAAGACACAGCCGTGGATTCTGTACAGGGATCCTCATGTGACCATTCACCCACAGGTCCATCGGTTTATGGATCAAGTCATGCATCCATCAATCCAGTCTTCAATCCATCCACCCATCCACCCACCCATCTATTCATCCACCCACCCTCCCATCCATCCATACAGCGATCCAGCAATCCATCCATCCCTCCAGTCAGCCTCCCAACCATCCACCCACCAATCTATTCATATCCACCCACCCTCCGCCCACCCTTCCATCCATCCACCCACCCTCCCGCCCACCCTTCCATCCATCCACCCACCCATCCACGCACCCATCGACCCACCCACCCATCGATCCACCCATCAATCCATCAACTCATCCCTCCACGAACCAATCCATCCACCCACCCATCCACCAACCCATCCATCGACTTACCCAGTCATCCACCCTTTCACCCATCCATTCGGCCAGCCACATTCGTCCACCCATTGTCTGATCCAAATGCAACTTGATCCAGCCATCCATGCATCTATTGATCCAATGCTCTGTGCATGAATAGATTCATCCATCAATTGATTCATCCTTAGATCGATCCATGAATCTATTATTCCATCAATTGATTCATCTATCTATCAATAGTTCTGTCAATCCATCCATCAACAGACCTGCAAACCAATCAATCGATCAATCGGTCAATCAATGTATCCACTGCTGAGTCAATCAATCCACCAATAGGTCCGTCAACAATCAATCCATTGGTTGATCCATCCATCAATAGGTCAATCAATCGGATTGATCAATCTATCAGTCCACCAACCATCCGATTGTAATGAACCCAGTCTGGAAGTTACTCGTCAAGTGTCGAAGTACAAGATAACTCAGCTCTGAATAATGTCACCAATAATCACGAAATGTGAACCATGATACAACGTCTCGTAACCAGTAGACGAAGAGAGGCGAGGGAGAATAGACGATTTAGAGGGTGGAATAGTATGTATCCATCAATGACCACAAAGATAGTAGTCCCACAGTTCCCTCTTCTTCTTCGGGCTTCCCCTCGCCTCCACGTCAGCAAACAGTGTCCAACAACGAGCCTGACAGAGCCAGATCACATCAGTGTGCCACGTGGCACAGTTCTCCCGTGAAGACAATCAACAGTGCACAGTTTCGACATCAGCAACAGGTAAGTATCCCCGCTCTCAATCAATCGATCCACAGATCCCAATCTCCCTCCTTGTCACGTCCATCCCAGCAATGACGACAGTGTGGCATATGCCACGTCAGCAACGTTGAAGAGAGCTGGCGCCAGGACAGGAAGGCGCCAGCGCGCAGGCAGCAGTCTCGCGTCGTCGTCCACAATGCCAGCTTCCAGCCAGCGCCAAGCCAGCGCCTAGCCAGCATCAAGCCAGCGTCAAGTCAGCATAGCAAGAATGAATGTTGACTCCCTGGAGGCAGGGCCTTATGTAGCATTTGATGAGGTTGACCTGCCTCAGGTCTCCCACCCACGGTGGCTCAGATTGACTCACAGACGACCGCCTGGATCTCATACAGTTGCAGACTTCCACTTGGTCGGGCTGCTGTCTTGGTACCTGCATACAAACAAGTGTGTGTGTCTGACCAGCAGCCTGGTCTAGGTCCATACAGACTTTGAATCGTGGGCCGCTGGGCAGCTGACCAAAGTCAACTGTCGGGCGCTAAGGCCCTGAAGCTTTTTTCGGGGGTTTTTCTCCCCCTGGTCATCACGGCCTTAGGCCGGGTTCGCGGCCTGCCTGTGCCCCTCGGGCAACAACAGGGCATAAAGAGTGGGTTATTGCACGATCATCTCTCTCTCTCTCTCTCTCTCTCTCTCTCTCTCTCTCTCTC